TAACTTACATTTCGTCGTCCAGGTTCATGATGCTGCGATGGTTCAAGTCCCCGATTAGGTTGCAAAGTATATAGCCTCCTAAAAAGGGTTCCACAAACGGGGTATTCTTTTGGGGTTCGATGTGGAGCTCAAAAGAACGGGGGTCTTGGCGGGGGTGTTGCGGGCATCTAGGTCAGTCTTATAGGCTTAGGGCCGGGTCTAGGTACAGCCTTGTCAATTGTATACCCGAGGACACCTCTTGGATTGCGGACCTCCCGCAGGCTTTCTCGGCCATGCCCATGGGAGATTTGTGGTCTGATGCAAAGCTGGCTGATTGCAGTAGGTACTGTAGGGGAAGTAAATTACTTCGCCTCCCAAATGAATGGAGGGCCGTGCTGCCCACTGAGCTTTAGTTAATCAGAAATCTACTGAAGATTCTTAGAGGCCTATAGGGAAGTTCAGAAACTATGTATGGGCATTGATAGGGATGTTCTAGGAAGGCAGCGACACCCCAGAACATATGAGCAGAGGTTGGTGAAAGGATAGTTGTTTTTGGAGTTGGACTGGTCCCCCCATTTGTGATTGGGTTGCCTTGCAAGTGATTGGGTTGGCCTCTAAGTGATTGGGTCGGGTTTCAGCGCAATTGGGCGGGGTTAAAAGTGATTGGGCTGGGCAAAAGTGATTGGGTTGGGCTGGGAACCCCCGAAAAAGTGTACTACCTGTACCCGTCCAAAAACCGTACAAAACCCGTACAAAACCCGTATTTTTCCAATCACTTTGTACCCGTACACTTTTGTGATCGGGAGTGATTGGGGTCTGCCTTAAAAGTGATTGGGGTGCTTGGGGTCTGCCTTAAAAGTGATTGGGGTGCTTGGGGTGCATCCTGAAAGTGATTGGGGTCATTGGGTAGGTTTGCAAAGTGATTGGGGTGATTGAGTATGCCTGCAAAGTAATTGGGGTTGCTGGGTATGCCTCTGAGTGATTGGGGTGGTAGTGATTGGAGCTGATTTGACAGGTCATTGGGCACTATTCGGTGTATATAGTGTTGAGTAGGTCTGCCCTGACCCATTGTTGCAAATGCCCAGGATGGGCGCCTGCCCTCACTAGCAAGGTCTTGCGGTCTGATCCAATAACGTGAGGAGATTGTCACCCAACGCTCAATGGATTGTTCTTGCAGGTAGGTATATTGCTTTAGAGGGCATGCCAAGTTCTCCCCCAAAAGCTGTGGTAAGCTTGTGAGGTAGCATAAGTTTTATGCTAATTCTCTCTGCTGGAAGTTGGCACAAGTTCGTGGGTAGCCGGTAATTCATGCACATGGGGAAGAGGCTTCGCAGTTTGGCTTCCTGTCTCTGGGAGACCGACGAAGATGATGAAGTAGAACTCCAGAACGTGTGGTCTGCTGCTTGCCATTGTGGGGAAAGGATTAAGCAACTAGAGCGAGACAATTAGGAGCTTATTCTGGTCAACAAAGAACTTCGCAAAAAGCTCATTTGCTCTGATGCAACGGGGAACCTTCCAGCAGTACCGCGATTGGTTGTGCAACGGGTCAGGTCATCTCCAGCTTGCAAAGTTGACCCCTGGGCTTTCCTGAAAGAGCTACCCCTGCCTAGAATGCACGAAGTTCGTCGAGACCTAGAGCAAACCCAGTTTGCTGCAGGGCATGTGTCTTTCGACATTTGCAAATCCAGGCTGGGTTCTGCAATGCTTGATCACTGCGAGATCACCATCTCCAGCATTTTCAGCAAATACCCTGCAGTGTTTAAAATCGGGGTGACGCAGAACCCAGTGCCCAGATGGAGGTACTATGAAAAGGACCCCCATGACAGATGGGCGCACATGACAGTGCTTCTTGCAGTTCCTGACTCCCTTAGCGTAGGACTTGTGGAGGTTTCCATGATCCACCGGTTTCAGAATACTCCTGGAAACAGGAATGTGCGAAAGGGTGGCGAGGGTTTGCATCCCCTGGGAGAAGGGCCGTATTTTGCGTATGTTGTTTTCCGTTGCCTTGTCTTGCCTGCGCAATGCTAGCTCTGGCATTTATTGGGTCTCAAGGCTTGTACAAAGCTCATGGATGTTTTCATGGTTGTGTGAGTGTGGGGTTTGCAGGGCTTATAAACTATTAGGGGTTTGTAGGGTTTCTACATGTTCTGATAGGGTGTATGGCGTTTATTGTGTTTATGAGCTTCAAGGGGCCCACGTAGGATGTAAAATAAGGTGTGTAAAAGGTTGGTAGATTTCATAAAGGTGCTTATAAGGTGTGTAAAAGTTGTTTTTGCTTTGGGGGTCATGCAGTTTATTGGATTCTGAGCTTGTAGCAAGCGTACAGGCTAGGCAGTCACTTGCAAGGCACACAGCTTGTGTATAGCACTCCATAATTGGATTGCAATGACCATGCCAGTGGTGCTTCTAGGCGCCCGCGTGACCCAATCTGAGCGATGAAAACATTTCTGTCAGCGCTTCCTGTGCTGTGGAAGTGTTCTTGAGAACCCAGTTGGTTGCATTGGGGAAGAGAGAATGGAAATCACATTCTGGCTCATGCCCGGTCAAGCCTGCGCAATTGTTTGTATTTCTTTGGCGCTGCCAGTCCAAGGCACGTGTGGGTGAACGCTCGATCTTTCCTGCTATGACTCACCAACCTGCCCCGTTGGAAAGCCGAGTGTGGTCTTCAGAGACGCTAAATGCTGCCCTGACCTCTGTGGATTTCCAGCAGTGCAAAACGGAGGAGTTGGAAAAGGAGATTCAGGAGGGGCTTCTTCTCGCGTAAAGGGTTGTCTTCGGAAATAGGTGTTCCACGAAGCCCATGCCCTTACCTGGTGTCTCCCCGGCCAGGATCTCCGCAGGCAGATTGATGCTGTTGAGGGCAGCAGCAAGCGGGCGCAGCTGTGCACCCCCTCGAGTGCTTCCAAGGAGAGCCCTTTGGAGCCCAAGGAGAAGAAGCGACACGTAGTGGGTGCAGCTTCTGAGGAAGATGATGGCAAGCTGCGTTGCGACATTCTAGCAAAGCTGAAGGAACAGCTCGGCAGCCCCTCTCCTCAGAAGACTGTTGAAAGTGATCAGGAAAGGTTCGTCACGCCGTTGAAGTTGGCAATGGTCGGTGAGGCTCTGATGAATGACCCGTATGTCATTCCGGACAGCCCTGTCGAGGCTTGTTTAGATGTTTCTCAGACTGATTTTTTGACACGCTGCTGCGAATTCCCCATGCCACAGTTGAAGTCTGAGCGCAGGCGTCGCCTACCCTGGCTGACCCCTACATGATGATTTCCAGCCCTGCGCAGGCATTAGCGTTTTGTCAGGATTATGTAGCTATGTCTATGTAATCTTTTATCTTAGAACTGCGCTGGGAGCTATATATACTGTCAGGCCCCTTGCGACAGCTCTACGATGGTGGATGCGACGATGCAGACACCTCTCAAGGACTGATTGCAGTCCATTCTGAGAGCTGCATGAGCTCTATGTAATCTTTAATCTTAGAACTGCGCTGGGAGCTATATATACTGTCAGGCCCCGTGCGACAGCTCTACGATGGTGGATGCGACGATGCAGACACCTCTCAAGGACTGATTGCAGTCCATTCTGAGAGCTGCATGAGGACCAAATCAAAATTCCCTATTATGTGCAGGGCTTAGCTGAACTAATGCGAGGGTGGCCGGGGCTAGTTGTAGTCACACACACACACACTTGTTGGGAGTGCCGAAGTGGGGAAGGGTTTTGGAATCAAAGAAATCTTGAGCGCTTTTGGCCGTTGTCCTACATGGTCTCGAAGGTCAACATTCTAGCGTATGAGGGGAACCTTGCATGAACCCTTTAGTATACCAATAGAACAGTAATCCTATTCGTATAGGGTAGTGGAATTTGTTTTTAGAGGTGTGCTTGGTTTACTTGCTCCCAACGCCCTGGCGATGATGATGATGATGATGACGATGATGATGGTGATGAGTAGGCATATGAGCTGTTGCTACAAGCATACTCCAGCACAAATGCTCGTGCTAAATTATGTGTTGGTAGCACTAATATCATGTCTTCGAGATTGGGAGACGAAAAGCACTTGTCCCCGTGCAGGCCCGTGTTGGGTCACCCTATCTCGCCTCGCCGATGTCGCCGGCGTCCTTGGATTTGAAGCTGGCCCTGATGCAGCAAATGGGTGAGATGGAAAGTCCAGCCAAGGGCAAGGGCGCGGGTGACGCGAAGGCAGAGGTGCTTGCGTTGGCACTCAAGGACCTCCAGGAGAAGTACCACGCCAAGGAGAAGGAGCTGAAAGGGCTCAAGGAACTCAAAGCGGCTAAGGCGGCCAAGCTTCAGGAGTCTGGCGGGTCCGCCCTGGCCGGCGACACCGGGCTTGCGGATTCGCGGGAGGATGAGCCTTGCGAACAAGAGGGCTTACCGGCGGCACGCCAGTCCTTGCGGCGTTTGTGCACGGCCCGTGCCAATGGAAGCTTGTTGGTCCCACAGGACACATACACAAAGTTCTGGAACGGTGGGAGTGACAGAAAGAAGCTGTTGACCCTCTTCGTTGCCCACGGCTGTGATAGAGACCGTTTCATCAAAGAGGTGAAGGTCCTTAGCGAGAAGGAAAAGAAAATGCAGCTCGAGGTCGGGGGCGACTATTTCAGCGAAGAGGACCTTCGCGACCTCAAGAAGCTGTCTGAGTATCCTGTTGGCATTTATACAACTTATATGCATGCAACATTTTCGGAAATAGGTGTATGTGAATGCATGGGGTCAATGGGGCGTGTTTTCGATCCAGCCATTATAATGAGCCTCTGAGGCAGCGCATCAAAGAGATCAAGGATTTTGCCGAGAAAAATCCTGCCTTCAAAAGGGTTCCTTGGACAAAGACCTTTGACCTAGACAATGTATGCATTTTCACGATAAGCCCCTCTTGGCTCCATCAGGCCGACACTTACAACAAGAAGAAGATGAAGTTCTGGTATGAGGACACCTGCCGGGCGACTATGACGGCCTCGCAATTGATGAGACAGTCTGAGGAGATTTCCTTTGACCAGGAGGTTCCGCAGGATGAGTTCGGAAATATCGGTGTTGCCACGGACTTTGATTTCGACCCTTCATCTTTGACAGCTGGGCCTTCGGGAAGTGGGAGTGTTGAGAACCTGCCTACTTCAGGCCGCGTTAGCTTGCCAGCCAGGGTACATGGATATATAGGGCTCAGGATTCATAGGGATTACAAAGGGCCATATAGGGTTCAGGATTTCAGGACTCATGTATAGTCCATAAAAGTATATAAGGTTTGAGGGTTTGGGGGCTATAGAATTTTTAGGTGTTTATAAGTGTATAAACTTGATGTAGGGTCAGTATCGTGCTTGCACAGTCTGATTTGTGTTGCCAGGTTATAGGGACTTATATAGAATGTATATAGGATCAGGGTTTATAGGATGTGTATAGTCTTTTAAGGGTTGTATAAGGGTTGATAGCGTTTGTCAGGTCTAGGTTTGTTAGGACGCAGAGGGCTTGCAGGGTGTACATAGAGTTTGGCAGCATGTGCCACAATCCTGGGCCTTTAATTGGGTTCTATTCTATGGGTCCTTTCCTCGAGCATCACACTGCCCCTGCGTTGCTTCCACCTTGCGCTGGTCCCAGGCAAGAGTGGTACCATGACTGTGGAAGACATGGGCTTCCCCAAGTTGGAGGGTGCCCCAGAGGATCATCTTCAGAAATTCATTGAGGCCCTCAATGCCCGGAGCGCCAAGATGTCGGATATCTTGGGCCGCTTGGAGGCCACGGATCCGAAGCCTGATTCCATTCGGACGCATCTTGCCTGAACGCTGTTGGTAGAAAACACCTTTCCACAGTCCGCTGTCAAACTACGTTGTTTGTATGCCAGCAAGGTTCAGAACGTGCTGCCCAACAACCCAATCAAGAAGGTCCAAAGCCCCATAGACCCCCAAAAGCCTCAATTTAGACTTCGCGAAGCAAAGCCCAAGCTTGACAAGCCCTGTGTATGATACAAAAATCTTTGCTACTGTTACTGCAGTGTTGCGCTACTATTGTGGGTCCGGGAAGGGGTATGAGAGCCCCCAAAAATGCAATTCTGCGGGTCGAAATTGGTTCTTGGGGGGCCAAGAAAGTCTCCCTCAGCTTCCCCTTAATTTGAGGCAGACTTTGTTGACCCCAAAGAAGCGATTCAGGGATATCATGGGATCGGTAAGAGGGTCTAGGGGCCCCAGTAAAGGCAAATGTGTAAGTCCAAATTGGTTCTTGGAGGGTCAAGAAAGTCTCCCTCAGTTTCCCCTTAATTTGAAGGAGACTTTGTTGACCCGGCAAGAAGCGATGTTAGGGGTGTCATGGGGACTGGAAGAGGGTCTACAGAGGCGCCAAGAGAGGCAATTTTGTGGGTCAAAATATTTAACGTGTCAAAGTTGGTTTTGAGGGTTGAAGAAAGGGTCAAAATCGGTAGCCAATTTTGATCACAGAATAGGGGTGGATTGGTGGTTGAAAACAGTGACAGGCGGTCTTGGGAGGTCTACCACTACCCACTATTACAATAACACCAACGACGACTACAGGGACGTTTTCAATTATCAGTGCCACTGACCTACTGCCATTGCTACTGCTACTGTTACTGCTTTCTCATTACCGCTACTGCCGCTGCTACTGCTTCTACTGCTGCCACCACCACTACCACTACCATTGCCAGCGCCAGTACCGCTGCTGCGGCCTATGCTACTAGCACGGACTACCATTAGCAAACCTATGCCACCACGGCGTTGCTGCTACTCTGCATACTGCGACTGCTACTCTAACTTTACTACTACTACTACTACTACTACTATTACTATTACTATTACTACTACTACTACTACCACCACCACTACTACTATTACTATTACTATTACTATTACTATTACTTTTACTATTACTATTACTACTACTACTACTACTACTACTACTGCTACTACTATGACGACTACGACGTCGACGACGCCGAGGATGACGACCACTGCTACCACGATTGTCATCACTACTCCTCCTCCTCCTCTCGCTGTTCTGCGTTTCTTTTGCTACCACTACTGTCATCACTACTCCTCCTCCTCCTCTCGCTGTTCTGCGTTTCTTTTGCTACCACTTATAATTGGCTGCGCTGCTGCTACTGGTGTCGTCAGTGCCAGTAGACAGAGCAGCATTCTATTACCCACTATAAAACGATTCACTATTTGTGCTCACGCTGTTACTACCATGCCCAGGCTCGTCCCAAAGGTGCAGGCCAGCATCGGCACGTGCGATGAAATCAGCGACCGGCTGAATGTGATTTGGGTTGATGGCAGCGTTGAGGGATTCGATTCGAAGCTGCTTCCTAGCTGAAGTATGGAAAGACACATGCAAGGCGCCTATGCCCGGAAGTGGATATAATTTGTAAATGTCAGCAGAAAAATGCGCCTCCTTTAGGGTGGCTCGTGGAATGGGAAGTTTTCTTTATTACTACGTGCAATGATGCAAGCTTGTGTCCTTACGCAACCTGCCCCAGTACCGATAAACCCTATAAAGCCTATAGATCCTGCAAACCCTATAAACCCTAGAAACCATCAATCCTAAAGGTATAAATGTTTGCTGAATGACCCAAGGAAGTTGGAGATCCAAGATCTTTACAAGAGGGGCAAGCGCGCGTGCCTGCCTGAGAAATTGACCAAGGGCGTTCTAGATTCTATAGAGCCTTGTAAATTCTCATCCTACTCCATCCTACACAAACCCTACCTGAACCCTGCCATACTCCCAAATCCAGCAGGTCTTTGTCTTAACATGTTCATGCTAAGGGCCCTGGAGAGTGTCACCTTTGAGAATCGTGCCAAGACCGCTGCTCCGAAGCGGCGTGCTGATCCCAAGGCTACAGCAAAGCCTGCTGGGAAAGCAAGTGCTGCAAAGGCAAAAGCCAACCCAGCGGCCCCCGCTAGCAATCCCCCAGCCCGCCGTTGCAGAAGCAAGCAGGCAGAGTGAATTTTGAGCCGCTAAAATCATAGCCTTCGTGCGTATGTGGGGTGGGAATCGTGTGTCTGTATACAATTTAGTTAAAACCCAGCTGTTCACTGTTCAATGCCCATAATCACTATAAACCCTACCCTGCAGCGACCTATGATTTTTTTGACCTGTTCACAGGCAGCTTGGCTACTGCCTGTCAGCAAAATTGGCATGTGCTGTGGCTTGTGCCCACAGCGCCTCACTGCAAGCCTAGGATGGCGATTTAAGCTTGGAACCCTGGGGGATGACGGCGAGTAGAAACAAGTGCCGGATTGTCGTGCTCTGATCCAGTCCCATGGGTAGATAAGATCAATCCTGAAAACCCTCCTTGCCCGCGCAGGCAAACCAATCGGTGCAGCCGCTCACAATCTGGTGGTATCTTTGGCAAATGGTGTGGCCTGGTCTACACATAATCTTCTTTAACAGGGTTTACGATGATTCAAAAGGTTTGCCACCCACCAAAACTGGCATAAATCCTATAAACCCACAACAGGTTCCACTTGTAGCTTTCCACTTGTAGCTGCTGTTTGCAGCTGAGCCTCTTACCATGTGTCTAAGCGTCTATTTTGGGGTTTATAGGATTTATAGGGTTTAGGGTTTATAGGGTTTATAGGGTTTATAGAGTCTATAGGGTTTAGGGTTTAGGGTTTATATATAGGGTTTATATATAGGGTTTATAGGGTTTAGGGTTTAGGGTTATATAAGCCCTATGTGAACCCCAGTTAGCGCATCTACAAATACAACCTGGGAACACCAACCTTTCAAGTCCCATAAGCCCTATAGCCTAGAGCAATCCCTCACACATCAAACCTCGGGAGCACTGTCAACGGTTTTTGAGGACGATGTCTTCTTTTGCTTGGCTGGTATAAGGATTGTGTATGGTGAAGCCTTGGGACGAAGATAAGCACTGGTGATTGCTCTGATTAGTTCAAAGCCTATGAGTTCCGTATGATGGTTTCGAAAAAGGTTTCTTACACTGTGTGAAGCCTATATACACCTTCCCAAAAGCCCAGGTACTGAAAAAGGTTCAATAATATCACTAAGTTCCCTGGACACGGCAAGAGGGGCCCCAAACATGACTTGAAGCCACGAGGGCCCCCTAGAAGCCTTCTCTCTGGGCAATCCCCTCGGAAAGCGTTTCCAATCTCCCAGCCCGGGTGTATCGTGTATAGATGTGTAAAGGTTTCTACCTATCCGAAGACCCATGAAGTCATGAGGATCTCCTAGAACCTCTGCGCACTCTGGACAATCCTATTTGAATAGCATGTTCAACCTACCAACCCGAGTATGTAGCGTGGATGTATAGAGCTTTCCGCCTATCCGGAATCCAAGGAGACTGCTGCCAGTGTTGTACGCAACGCAAGGGCGGTTGAAAAGGAGATGCCTCTTCTCATGAGAGGCATGAGAGAGCTCTCTTCAGTCAATTTGGCTCGCGGTGAAAGCAAATTACATGAGATTATTCGTGGATGGGGCATGGCGCTGCCTTTAGACATTTATTACTTCAACCGGGGGCTTCTCTTTGCACCCATGCTAAAGATGAGCACGTGGTTTGAGTATTTGGTTTCCTACCGATCGCAAATTTTGCTGGGAGGCTTTTCAAAAGAAGACCCGGCAGCAGGCGGTCTGCTGCAGAGCTTTTGGGAGGCATACAGGTTCGAGCATCCTCAGCATCATGTGTATGTGCAGGGGCTGGATCTTCGCAAATGTGTGCCCATCAGCATATACGCAGATGAAGGTCGAGGATTGCGCAAAGCTCCCGTGCAAGTCGTAGGCTTCGAAACGATGTTTGGCCTGGAGACTGCCAACCGTCACAGGAAACTCTTATCTGAAGGCAGCCCGGGTGGATGCGCCAGTTTCTGGGAAGCTGCTGACCATACTGGTCGGGGATCATCACTGGCATCCAGAATCCTTCTATGGGTCTTGCCTCACTCAGCTTCCTGTATGGTTTTGTTCTGGCTGTTATGTTTGCAATTTGGGAATTAGGAGGTGAAAGTACCTCCTGGTCAGTGCTTCAACTCATGTAAGGCGTACAAGGCCGGCAGGAAGGACTTCTGGTACACTGTCATGAACTTTGCCATGGCGGATTTTGCCCGTGTCTGCCAAGCCGGTGTCAACTGCGACGGATGCACATGGTACCCATGTTTGGTGGGTGTCAAAGGAGATGCCCCAGCGCTGGCCAAGATTGGCCGCTTCAGCAGGTCTTTCCAGCATTGGCAAGGCAGTGCTGGCATTTGCCACATTTGTCTTGCTGGTCAAC